CCAAACTAAAACATTTGTATGCAGAAAATTTTGATTTTAGGTCTGTATGGGGTTAAAAAGCTTGGATCAGCAGTCTTCCGACAAATGAGTATGAAAATGATCTGTTGAGCGGCGGACGGACCGTTAAATGCTATCTAGCGCATATGATTGCCAGTGGAATAAGCGGCTGTAAAGGTCAAGTACCGTGAAGCAACGAGTCAACAACTAGTTTGAACAATTGGAGACATCTGGTGGACAGAAGTTGCTCTAGTCAGGATCGAGGGGATCCCACCTCTACCCGCAACAAGGCGGGGTGATTTCGGGGCGTTGATTCCTCGAAACGGGATTAGGGGGCCTGGGCCGGGTGGAAGAAGCGGTGAAGGATACGGCGATGAGGCGCCAGAGCGCGGCGATAGGCCGTGCGTTCCATTCTAACCAACTTCAGCCACTCTTCCCTATTGACCAACGGCTTGTTCAACACTGTTCGGCGTTTCACGGCGAGCATGCGTTGAACTACCTTGGGGAGGTCAGTTGGGCCCATGTCAAACTGAGAGTGTATACCGTCGTTCACCAATCGGCTACGTTCGCATAGCTGGACGTTGTCCTCCGAATGTTGCACCGAGTTCCGGTGTTCCCACACATGAAATCCAAGCAAGATCAGCTGATGTGACAGGCGAGAGACCCACAGGGTCAGAGAGCGTTGGCTCCCTCGTGACTGAAGGTACTGTTCCTGCAGGGCCGCCCACTGAACAGACAGCCGGCCTTCCAATAAACCTTGGTAGCCGATGCGTTGTTGGGAGAGAAAAGCGCGGCAAAGACGAACCGGAACCAACCGACTGCAAGGTAGGGACGGATCACAAACCCCTTGAAGAAGATGGAGGATGGCGTGTTTGATGGCTGGGTCAGTGACTTGGGTGTCCAACCATTGGTCCAACGTCGCCGTCCGGCGCTCCCATTCCGCACTTGCCGAGGGCGCCATACATTGAGGAACATGAAGGTGGTCCTCGAACTTGCCGCAGCAAGGGCATGTAGCGGAACCCCACCGGACTTTGAACTTCCCTACACCAAACATACACGACATGCTTTGTGGTCCAACGTTGGACACCGGCCGGAAGGGAGATCATGGCGCGAGCCAGACTGGTCCAATCGGTCTCCAGCTCTGCCTCTGGTGTAATCGTCTGCCGCTTGTGCCATCGCTTGCGTAGAGCAGGCAGCGCCACCAGTTCCTGGACCTGTTCTGGATTCAATCGCGACTGTTTGACGTCACCAATGTAGAGGGCAGCCAATTCGGTAAAGAAACGAGCGTTAGGTGCAATCAGTCGGTGTGAAGCTTCGAGCTGGTGGCGATAAGCAACCGCCCACGCATCCACTTCCACATTCCGTTTGGACCACCAAGAGAGGCACAAAAAGGATGTCGCCCTGGAGCGGGCAAGTGCCTCCCGGATAGAGGAGACCAGGTCAAACTGGGCTTGTTGCGGTGTGACTCGATTGTCACTAAAGGTGTCGAGCAACGCCGAAAATCCATCGTACGCAATCCTGACGCGGGGTGGTGATCGAAGTGTTAGGGCCCACTGGTCCAGGAGCCAATCAACAACCATGATACCGGCCAGTAGGCCAATCAATTCACTCCGGTACGCGCTCTGGTCATCAGGTAGACCCGGAGTCTGGGATACCCCGCAGTTTGTCCTAGATCCGGGTTTCTATGATTTCTTTTTAGTCCGTGTGGTCATTTTCACCCTTTTCTGCATTAGTCTCTCATGATGAAATTGACTCAGGGCAAATTAAAAGCGACCAGTTGAGTATTTAACAAGCAGAAATTGCGTTAATTCTTCCACCACTGTTCGCTCTAGTTTGCTCTAGTTCGCTCGTCGTGCATTCGCCGAAGCGGAAAATCATGAATTGTCGTAAAATGTCAAAATTGTCGTAAATTTCCAACAAGAAATCTACGACAATTCTAACGGTAATTGAGTACAATTGATGACATTTCTAACGGTAATTGAGTACAATTGACGACATTTCTAACGGTAATTGAGTGCAATTGACGACATTTTTAACGGTAATTTAGGACAATTGAAACGGTAATGGGGGGCAATTTTAACGGCCTCGATTGTGCTAACTGAACCGTTTTTTTTAAATTGAAAATGTGAGCCTCGCTCGGAAGCAAGTGATCGGTGGACAATGAAAGTGCTATAAATCATTGGGATGGTTGGAATAGAAGTGACACCGGAACAGGTGCTGATCTACGGATTCGAGACAATTGGCAATCTACCTCCGATTACCACTGATGACTACACGGAGCACAACATCGGTGTTTTCTTGTCCAGTATGCGATGGACCATGGGCATCCTATCTTTGAAGCAAATACTCTACCACCAGAATGAATAAACTAGGGTGTCTTTGAACCAAATACTGTACCACCAGAGTGAATAAACTAGATGTCCTATTTGTATGATGTGTCTACTCAACAGATTGTGATGATGTGTTGACTCCTCAACACATTGTGATGATGTGTCGACTCCTCAACAGATTGTGATGATGTGTCTATGTAAAAGTCGGTACGTCTGTAACAGCCTTCTCGACGAGTAGGAGTCGAATAACGCCTTTTAACAGCAAGCAAAGTTTTTTGTTGGTCCCCTTGGTCATTGCCTTGGATTGTTCAAGACATTTTTAACGGTAATTAAGGACAATCGACGACATTTCTAACCATAATTAAGGACAATTGGCGACATTTGAAACGGTAATTGAGAAAAAACCACGACATTTTTAACGGTAATTCATGCATCGGAGAATCTAATGAATGAAGGTTTTTTCACGATTGCTTCTACTTATGATCACAATAAGTAATACGAAGCTGTGGTCACTTTTTCCGAATACCCGAAATTGTACTCAATTACCGTTAGAATTGTCGTCAATTGTCGCCAATTGTCGTCAATTGTCGTCGACGGTCATTCACGACAATCGACAACATTTTTAACGGTAATTGAGTACAAAATCCACGGAGTTGACGGCATTGCATGCGTACAATAATAACCGCCATCGTTTTGTCATGAGCTGCTACTGGATTGGCATGTGCGCACGCAAGCCATCAACACAAAGAAAAATGTCGTCAATGACCCAGACATTGTTGTCAATGGTCCTTATGACCGTCGACAACAATTGACGACAATTGACAACATTTTAAACGGTAATTGAGTACAATTGTAACGGTAATTGCGGACGATTTTCATCATGTCTCACTTAACAAATGTTTTTAAGTATAGACAGGAGTATTGAAAACACCACCAAGACCATGAAGTGTTAAACAATGATTGAATTCCATGACAACGGAAGATGTTGAATCACCGACCCCCCAGCAGAAAGGGTGATCAAGCCGGCCTGCCTCCAATCTCTAATCAGATTCACGACAAAATGCGGCATATCCCTGGCACCGAACAATAATACGTTCCTTGCCACCCTTACGTGGAAGCAGTTGAACCGCTGCCGTGCCCAGACCGAGCTTATAAGAACCGTCGCTGATCACACACAGCCGGTCTTCGAGTAGGGCTTCA